AGAGCCTGGGAATCAGTCACACGTGTACAAAGAATGGTTTGGATAGAAAAAATATGTCCCATGTGTCAAGAGTTCCATGTGATAAAACCAACAACATAAATGGGGATGACATAAATAAGATCATGACAAAAGATTATGTGACAGGTGAATTAGTGCTTCCATGTAACACACTCCTGGCCCATCAGACACAGCCTGGAACAATTGAATTTATGCAATGTGCTGCAGTTCTCCATTTCTATCTGAACCTCTGATTAAGCTAACAGATTTTCAAAAACAAATTATAGCCAGACAAGACCTTACTGATTGTGCATGTGCAGATACTGAAAAACTAGTTGTTATCACTGCAGAATCCAAATGTTTCCTCTTGATTTGCCTCTCCTACCATTAGGACTCAATAGACTGTAATTATTCTTAGCCACAATAATGTTACGCTGCCAACCTTTGGAGGATATTGCCATCCTAGATTGTGTCTTTCTTAAGAGGGCCTTCAAAAACACACTAGGTGTATAAAAAGATTAGGAAGCAATCCACAGTTGTGCAGCTCCCATTGGAATCTTTAGCTCTATCCATAACTGAGGTGTGACAGGCCCTAACACGGTTTTTGAAATCCTGTTCTGGGTCACAAATTCTGCCGAAATTCTGTGTCACAAATTCCGAAAAGTTGTTCCCCGTCCTGTTTAGCAGAATGAGAGAGACACAAATAGGATTTTGTATACGAGGGATTTTGCTTTTCTTTAAATGACAGTATCGGTGACATGAAAAGTCCCCCTAGAACATGTATTCTGAAGGGGTTTCCTCTATTTCTGCTCCCTCCCAGAGAATAAAGTTTGCCAGATTTATCATGGCAAGTACACACTTAACTCCATTAGTGATGATCAGAACATTTCAGTTGTGCTCACCAGCGGCCCGGGGGAATCTTAGAGAAACTGGCAATGTTTATACATCACTCTCGACCCCTTCCCCTGAAAGCTGGAGGCAGAGGCAAGGAAGGGGCCCCTCGTGCGCATCCCTCGCCCCATCCCCGCAGCCGCATTTCCCGCAGCTCCCCGGCGCTGGCTCTGCCCCCGCTGCCCCGTCCCGCCGCCACGGAGGAGGGGAAGGAGGGGAAGGAAGGGAAGGAGGGGAAGTGGGAGGGAGCCGGGTCAGCGGGGTCCGTCCCGGGAGATGGGTGGGGAGAGGAGCGGCCGAGCGGGGCTGTGCCGCAACGCCCCTCGCTATAAACGGAGCGCTCCGAGCGGAGCGGCAGGAGCGGCGAGGAGCGCGCCCGGAGCTCGGCTCAGCCCAGCCCAGCCAAGCTGAGCCCAGCCCAGCCGGGGCTCAGCCACCCCCGCCCGGAGCCAGGTAAGCGCGTCCCGGCCGGGCACTCCGCCCAGGGGCAAGCAGAGCGTTTGCGAGCGCGGCACTGCCTCGTATGGAATTTCTGCTCGGCTTAGACGAAGCTGGCACGGGAAGGCTCCGTCCTGCACCAAGAGCAGCCACTTAATCCGCCTTGCCCTGCGAGACCCGCTCGCTAAACCCGCTCCACGAGATTATTTTAGAGAGGACTGAGTGCCCCACGGGCTGCCAGCCCTGTCCGTGTGAGCTCTCGAGTCTTTTCGCAGTTTGAAGGGAAAGCAAGGGCGCCCCTTGGCAGGAGGCACAGCCCTCGGAGCAGTAACTCCATCGTGGCTCATCCCAACATCCTGAGAGACGCAGCCCTCGCACCTCTGCTCAGCATCAGATGAGCAATTAAATTTTTATCGCTGTGCTAAGCTCACGATAGAAATTAATCAAACAGCAAAAGTGATGCTCATGGCTTCTGGGAGTTGTGCAAACAGTTTAGTTTCTCAGTCTGGCAGGCAAAGCCACTTCCAGCAGTTAGAAGCAAGTATTGGTTTAATCAGAATTTTGTAGCATACACTCTCCATAACCAGATCTATCCTTTTTCTACAGAGAAAGAATTGGAGTGATCTACAACCAGAGATTAATTTTAGTTAGTAACGTTAAAATGCCTCCCTGCCTTTTTTCCCCCCAGCCAGTTTCTAAACTTTTCTTGAACTCACACTGGACTAGAGCTCTTCAACAACTTTAGATCAAGTCCTGTAGTATATTTACTGTTCTTCCCCTCACCATGCATCAAAGCACTTAATGTTACCAGTTACTTACAACTACAAGCCCTACCCTATATTCCTCTAAGTCAACTGGTTTATCAGTCAGGTCATGATGTGTACAAACAGTAAAATTGCAGTATTCACTTACACCTATTTCTATATTTCTGCAAAACTCCTAGAATTAATGAGATGTATGGCAATAAGGGACAGCAGGATTCTGCCCAGAGCATGCTACAGTTCAGTGTAAATTTCCATCACTTCCAAAAGCAGCAGCACTCATTTGCATTGTGTTGTGCTGCATAGCATGGGACAAGGTAGTAAACTGGCTCAGTAAAATCACAGGTTGAGGGTATAAACAGGGAATTTTTTGTATAGGGAAGCCTCTTCTCTTGTCACTTGCATGAACCCACAGCACTAACATGATTAGATTTTTGTCTGAATAGCAGGATTAAGTATGGCCTGAAGCAGGTAATTACCATGATGATGTAGAAAGGCTTTTTAAAGTCTATTTTAGTGTCAGACAAATGTTTCATACTCCTGAGTATGGCAGTCCATTTTGCTTGTTGCCACCGTAATCTTTTAAATTAGAGCCTCTTTCAAAAATATTAAGTGCCTACAAATTCAGCTTTTGCTCATGTATTTAAGGTTTAAAGTATATACCTTTCCAGCAGGAACACAGTATTTCTTTTCCTCTCTACAACTTGAGCTACATAGCAGAGAAAAATCAGTTGTGATTATTGTGTGCTTCCTAGTTGATGTTGTTGAACTGACAAAGCAAAGTGGCCCTGTACAATGAAGGGAAGTCATATTTATCATTAAATTTGAATATAGCTAGTCTTATTCTCCCCTTACTTTTGTTGTAGTAATAGATGGAAACAGAGATAGTTTTTGCACTGGGGGAGAGTAGAAGCGTGTTCATTTTCCATGGTGTAAGGCATCCTGCCTTCCTGCTTTGGAGCAGTATCTTCTTGGGCTGGCCAGCATGTGCAAACTGCAGCTAGAAGTTACTGGTTTAAAAGGCAGCAAATGCCAGCCTGAAGTGTCAGTACCCACAGCACTGCAGAAGTGAGGAGAGTGCTGCCTTTAATGTTCAAGTACCACAACTCAACAACCTGCTTTTTACAGTCCTCTTGGAACAAGAAGATGAATGATGGTATTTGTGTTTCCTGAATAATATTAATTGTATTAAATATTGGAAAATATATTTAATTTCATTCTTTGTCATACTATAAAAAGAGGCAGATGCAGAATGTAAATGGTGATTTATTTACACTTTCTAGAAATGTATGGGCTGACATGGAAATTAGTGTCAAAATTAATGCCCATTTGACAAAATTCTGTTTTGGATAATGGGCGCTGACAGCATTTTTCTACTCCTCAGTTTTCTTCTCTGTGGTAATTTTATCCTCCACGTTTGTTAAAGTAGTGTATTTAATAGTTCTTTGCTCTGGCACTGCCTATTGTTGAACACATTAATTAATATGGCAATTTAAAGTTACATAAATTACAAACTCTCATTCCACTGTCCTAGTTAAAACCTTGTTTATACAAAGGCATAGTATTACTTTAAACCATTTTAAGCAGTCACAAATTACTCCTATTTGCTCATTACTTCTCTTTTTTCTCTGGAACTTGTGTTCCAGAAGTTATTATAGTGTCACCAGCAGTACTCATAAGCTCACCTGTGGCTATAGCTGCACAAATTTTAGGGGTCTTAATCACGCTCTAAGAAGCATGCAATTGTTTCAGTTGTTGGCATGTTCTCTGCACCTTAAGTATCCTTTTCTGCCTTGGTGACTTCATAAAAGGTCATATTCCTCTTCATGTGGGTACAGAACATGGATATTTATGCATTGCTTTAATCAAATACTACATCAGACTTACATGGTTAATAGTGTGCATTTTTTAAACTGAATTAAATGGTTATCTGCTAGGAGACTACCTCATTGAGAGGAAAGATCAACTAAAATTGAATTTGGATATGTTGTATCTGAAGCTGAGCTGGGGAGATGGATTATCAAGATTCATTGGCTTACAAATAGATCTGCTTGGGCTTTACATTGGACAATGAAAAAAGAGGGCAAATGACCAAGCTGGGAAGGGTGGTGGACAGCAAAGCAAAGTATTGCCCTCAGCTATTTCTGATAGTAGTGCTGGCAGCACAGCAACCATCTCTCCAAAAGGAGAACCCTAAACTTAGAATCTTTTCAGAGCTGCAAGCACGGTGAGATTGGGAGCTCACAGCAGGGAGGATTGGGTGAAGCTACAGCCTGGCCACTACAGGTCCACAGCAGCCTGCTTGTCTTGTAGGCTCTGTGGCATGTTCAGCTAAATCTCCAGCCTTGGGGTAATCTTGGCTCAGTTTTCAAGTCTTATCCAGTTTATTGCTGCTGTTTGCTCCTGCTGCTCTCAGCTGTACAACAATTCCATCAGAAATGCAGTGACACAGATGTTGTGTTTTACCCTGTGTTCCTCTCAAAAATTAATTAGGAATTTTTCAGCATGCTTGGATGGAAGCTCACATTTTTGGACAGCTAGTCCTAAAGATGACTATGGTGTTTTTAAGAAGTCAGCCTCTACACTTTAGGATCAGGTTTGAGAAGGTAAAATGAGAGATTGTTACAAAGAAACAAACTTAGAAATCTCATGGAATTCTGAAAACAGAATAAAAAATGTGGATCACTTCTGAAGAGAGAGGGAAATATTACATCGTTCTTTCCACTATTGTAGGGTTAGTTTCCACAAAACCAACAGGATTAAAGAGGTTGCTATTGCTTAGTATTTAACCTCACCTACTTACATGGAATTAACTTTGCATAAAAGTTAAAATTTTTGCATGTAAGCACAAGGTGAATTCAAATGCATTGGAGAGTTTGAGTAGGTGGCAGTCTAATGTACGCTTTGGGTTTCAGGATGCACAGAGCTCATTCATGAAGCTGAAACACTGCAGCCTGAAGAGCAGAAAGGCTCCAGGAGAACAATTTCAGTGCAATTGTGGCTGTATGTAAGAAAGTTACTAATCACAGTATCATTTTCTGTCTCTTCCTTCTGATCCCAAACACCCTAGCAGTGAAGAGCAAGCCAGCAGTCTTTTGCTAATGACTGTATTTTTTCCATTCCTTTTCCATCAACAAATTTGTCTCTTAAGATCACTTTCACCAATAGACAGTCATTCTACTCAAAGCACTCATTCCATGTTCTGTACCATTTTCTAAAATGTATCCTTTGCCAACAAAAGAAAATAAAACAAAAAAAAAAAAAACCCACCAAAATGCCAGATGTACCCTGGAAGGATCTTTGTCCCTTTGGAACATTTTGGGGAATTTAACAAATTTGACCAATAAGGGGATACTCATACTTAACATTTTTTTGCCTCAGCTGTAACAAAGGGAAAGAGGTTTTCTTGACTGTAAGTCCTAACAGCTGTGATTGTTTGAGACAAAGCACATATGAAATAAAATTGCTGGTCTAATAATTTTTGGTCTTCAGATAAATGACAGATTATACTAAAATTACTCTGAGCTTTCAAGTGAATTGCTACAAAGGATAGGAAACTGTCGTGTTCCAAATGACATGCTGTTAGTATTCTCTGCTGCACCATCATGTGAAAGAACTATGGCTTTTCGCCTTTGGTCGGGTGTCTTTTAACATTTTTATTCCATTTGTGTTTTGTTTGATAGCAAAACTGTCCAGGTATTCACTACATAACCAGGCTAGCTAGAATGCTTGGTTACTGTTTGTGGTGTTTATCTCCTTCTATTGCAGCTGAGTAGCATTTCTCTTGTAGGCACAGAGCGCAGGTAATAACCGAAGACGGCCTCACAGCAGGAGAGTGAGATCAGATTGGCAGTGCAGCAGTGAGTGGCATGACTGAAGACAAGATAAAAAGCAGGCTACAGCAAAAGGTAAGGGGCAATATCTGAAGAAATTAGTACTGAATTTGGGCAAGGTCAATATTTAGACAGTATTTCACTGCTTGAGGTGAAAGCTATAATTAGGATTACAGCCAGAACAAAGAATGATTTAACTAAACTCCTAATTTCAGCTAATTCCCCTATTCCTTTCTTTACTTGTAGGTCATTCAACTTTGTGAGTTACTCATAGATCCTTAGCTAGTACAATCTAATAATCAGTAGATGAAGTACAGGAACAGAAATAGAAATTAAAATTCAGTGAATTCTTGAATCCACTCAGTTTTCAGAAAACAGAGGAGACACTGGAGTGCTGTGCCTCAGCATTTCTAGCTGAGAGGGACACATTGAAATAAGTAAAACATTCCAGCAAACCACTGAACAGCTGTACTTTCATGATGGGGGGCTTACGCAAGGAGAAAAATGCACAAGCTGACTTCTCTAAAAAATGTTCTGTTGGCAGCTGGCCTCCATTTAACTCTGCTTTAGCACCAGCACAGCCTGGCCAGAGCCTTTCCTTGAAGCAGGCAGTGCATTATGTAAAAGGTGCAGCCTGGGCTTGTTTACTGAGAAACCATTCATGCCCTTCCCAGTCTACATTTATAAGATGTATATTGCCCTTTCATCTTTTTCTTTATAAACTCCTATTGGTTTTCATCTTTTCTCCACTCATTCTTGCCCAAGCCTAAATGTTTATGCAGTTTTAATTTCTCCTCCTGCCAAGGGGTAAGTCTGCTATGACTGGAGTGGCTCAGGGTTTGTTTTCTCCATCCTCAGGCTCTCGACTTGATGTACAACAGTTAGAAATGGAAGGCATGGGACAAGAATCAACATGTATTATCAAACTAGGACTCTAGTTGTGCTGTCTTCATTGTTTTCCTCTTGGTTTTGTTATTGGCAGTTTGCATGATTAGACAATTACAGTTTTTCTCAAATCAGGTAAAAATATTTATTTTCACATGGTCTTCCTAAAATGCAGTTCAAATAAAAAGGGTTCAAAATCATTTTACCTTCAAATATATTTTATGATGCCATTCCATGTTCTTAAACATAACATTAAAAAAAAAAAAAAAAAAAAAAAAAAAAAGCCATGTCAGTGAAGGACAGCCACACACCCAAGGAATTGCACAGTAATTTTCCTAGCACTGAAGTGAATCTCATTTAGCATCTCTGGGAAGGCACAGCACTACCCCTTCTGGGCTCCTCTGCACTTGTGTTTGCTTGAGGGCTGAGACTGCACCTGCTTGAGGATGCACTGATTCACAGTATCATGGATTAGCTCACTCCAGCTGCAACAGCTGTCTTTGTTTTGCTATCTCTGGCTGGTCCTCAGTACCCACAAGGAACATCTCAGGACAGCAAAGAGGGTTCACCAATTAATTTTATTTTCAAAATAGAGCAATAAATTTTACTTTGAGGGAAGAAAACAGGAAACAAGATGTACAAATTTGTCAGAACATCTATTTTGGGATCATTCTATTAAGTGTGCTGCCTTCCAGACAAAGCACTAAGGATCATAGTAACTTGTTTTTCCATGGGTGATAATACCTTTCACACTGACATGGATTAAGGTGTCTATGTTTGACCTTTCCTTCTCTTTGATTAACCCCTTAGAAACTCACTAGTTCAATTGACTCATATATTCTCAAATTTTCTTCTAGTCCTCATAATGATCTGCCCTTAACAGGAGTTTTGTGCAACTGAAAGCACAATTGGGCCTCTATCCTTTCAGTGTTATACCTACCAACAGTTACAATGATACTAACTTCTCTTGGGCTTAGCTACATTACCATTTTAAAAGATTTTTTTTGTCTGAATAAACTCTTGTACTTTGCCAGTTACTCATACTGTTTTCTTTCCTTTCTGCCTTTGGTTCCCTTTTTCTGACCCTAATGAGCGATTCATTAAGAAGCCTCCATGCTGATCTTTTGCTTTTAATCTTTTAACTTTTCCCTCCAGGCTGTTCCTAACATTCTCATTTAGGGAAGAAAAGTCTTTTCTGAGGGGTATTGCCGTTGTGTGATATTTTCCCACACTAAGGATGTCTAAATTAATTATATAATAAGAAAAGTAATCAAGTGTCTCAGTCAGACACAGTGAACCAAATCCTATTACAGATGGCTGAATTACAAGACAAAGCTTCCTCTGAACTAAGGTGCTGAAACCTCACATCCATTTCCTTGCCCAGAAATCCACAATACATTGCCTTTGCTTCTTCAGTAAGACAAACACTATTTCTCAGCACAAAGTCAAAAGAAAAAAAGTGTTCAATGCAAGGTTTGCTTTCCTCAGAGCTGTAGCACTGACTGGTGGGAAGTTACATGGAATTCACCCGCCATGGCACTGGAAATGTAGTGATAAAGCTTTCACATTAGCTGGTTTAGTTACCATGACAGACACTTCAGTGATACTGGTTCACATAGAAATGCTGCATCTGCACACATGTTTGTATTTCAGTTCATGTCTTCATCACTCAAAGCAAAAGATTCTGTTTCTAACTTTAACCACATTGGTGAAAGGTAAGAGGAATGGGATTCATTAGAGGGAAAGTCTTTTTAGGTAACACTGTGCAATCTGAGCTACTTTCAGTCAACTCACCTAATTTCCATTAGATTAGAAAGTGGAACACCTCTGTATGGAGGAGGTCTCTCCATTTCTGGAATAGAAGCAGAGAATTTTCAGTGTTTCTTTTCTGTCCTGCTTTCTGATTAGCCATCATTACATATAAAGGTAATTGCTCTGCACAATGCATTTCTAAAGCTTGTCCTTCATTAATTTACATTTGCCTTCTATAGTTGGGGGGGAAGCAGGGGAGTTGGGTGGGGAGTGGGATGTAAAAATGAAAAAGCCCATCCTGCATATTGAGCCTCTAAAGCTCATAGGTGCATCATGGCCCAGCCTGGTGATTTAGCTCAGTGGCAGGAAAATGTTCTTTTGAGGATTAGCATACCAGGTAAGGCTTCAACACACATCAATGTTGCCATGCACATCAAAATGTTGTTGATTTGCTTTACAACTTGAAGCAAATCTATGTAAGTTCCCTGGTGGCACCTTTCTTGCTGGTTTACAGGAAGGTACAGAAAGGCGGCTCCTTGTACCAGAAAAGCAGAAGTTATTTTTCAGCATTTGTTGGTGATCTCATTAGTATCTCACCTTTAGCTAAGGAAAGTTGTTCAGGAGTGTAAATAAACTGCATGCATCATGTTCATTTTTGCTTCTGTATCTTCTGGCTCAGCAGAAGAGTTAGATGCCTCTGGGAGAGGGGCAAATGACATGGGGGTCTCTGAATAAAATAAACTACTGGGGAAAAAAAAGGAAGCCTCTATTTGGACTAACTGGAAATTCCACAAAGTGCTATCACCTCCCAACTTTGTCTACAAAATTATTAGCTGTGTCCCCTACCCTTCCTCCTAGAAATATCCTTGCCTAGAGGGAGCAACAGAAACCTAATTAAAACATTATTTTTGGTACATTTATACTAGTAACACCACTGATTGAGTTGTGTTTTTCACAGTAAAGCTGTAAGACAGAAAAAGGCAAAGATTGAGAAAAATCCTTTTCTCCTAGAAGTAGGGGATTTGGTTCTTGAGGAAATAGTTGAAGTTTTGTCCTCTCCATTGCAATCTCTGCCAGCAACAGAAAAGGTTCTGACAGTGATTGCATATTGCTGTGGTCTTGTCACTCATGCAGTAACCATTTTATGAAATTATAATTTCTGATTTAGATGCACGAAATACCTTTTTTTGCTTAACTATTAACAACCACTAATACAACCAAGAGTTTGAGCTTACGTAAATCTCACCTGTTTTCACCTAGAGGCTGGTCAGCAAGCTCTGTCTTGCAATTACAGCAGTTTATGGAAGTAGCCTTTTCCCCCCAAAAAGGCCACTCTCCACTTGATAGCTTCCATCTGAGTTGCAAGTGCAACCACTGACTAAGACTAAGATCTGGACAATGAAACAAACTCTTTCAGTGTTGGATGCATTCCAGCTAACATTCCTTCCAGCAAGAATAGGATCAGAGACCGGTGATACTCAAAACAGCACATAAAATGTATTGTAATCCCGTATTAAGATCTACTTGCTTGAAATCACAGTAATATAACAGCATTTCTCCTACAAGCTGGGCAGGAAGGATAGTTGTAACTGCTATTTTTTTCATACTGAAGAAGGAATCCTCAAGCTTCAGTGAAGAGGACTGTGTGACTTAGGACAGACTGATGGCTGTATGGGATGCCCAGTAAGCCAACTGTGATTTATGTAGGAACTGAAAGGAGGTGAGATACCCCACTCCTTGTACCTGACCTCTGCCCTTAGAACTGGCCATGATAAGCTGTGCTCACAGCAACACTTTTCATTTCAATGTATGGTTTTTTCTTTCTAACCTCTCCACAGCATTTTTAGTATAAGACTGAAATATAAATCTGGATCAAGGCCAGAGTTAATCTAAATTCCCTTATTTCTCAGATTGGAGGCATTCACAATAGAATCTTATGGTGCATTACATATGGAAGCAATAGAGATATTTCAGATGTGGGGTTAGGTATCCATTTGTGTTGGATGTGCCATGCAACATAATACAAAACTTAAAAAAAAAACCACGCAAAAACTTTAAAACTTCTTACTCATGGAACTAAGCTATGAGAAAAGAAACTTAAAATTCATCAGATTATTTCACTTGCACTTAATAAACCTGAATTCTATTTCTGTCTTTTATTAAAAACAATCACATGGGGCACACTGTATTTTGTATAGGCAATTCCAACTGCAATAAAGGAAATGTGTTAATTCATTCATTTACTATCACTCAGAGAAAGTAACCATGCAGCATGTAACCTTTCACAGCTCAAACTCATCTCATTTTTATTCATTCTGGGATTGATGGCTTAATTCTGGTTAATTATTGATTCTTACAGGTACTTCCAAATACCCTAAAGATACTTAATAACCCAGCATCAAATTTGAAGTTATAAACCTGCAGTAAAATGTGTATTC